GTTACCTACTGACCAATTTATTACTTTCTTGTGTTAATAATGCATCATCTAGGAGAGCAGCTCAGACAGCCCCCGCCAGGCCCGACCCGCAGTTTTTGTGAGTTCTGCTTTGTACCAGAATAAACAACTATTACCACTTATACTCACATGCCCTGTATTTACCTGTCCCCACCATAGAGCACTGACGAGGAGCCAGCGGTCGCCCTCGACCTAACGGTCGCCCTCCACCCAGAGGAGCCAGCGGTCGCCCTCGCCCTCCAGGAGTCCAGCAGTGGGGCCGATGACATCATCGACCCGGATGTCGTCCCCAGTGAGCCAGCAGTCAGCCCAGACCCAGAGGAGCCAGCGGTCGCCCTCGCCCTCCAGGAGTCCAGCAGTGGGGCCGATGACATCATCGACCCGGATGTCGTCCCCAGTGAGCCAGCAGTCAGCCCCGACCCAGAGGAGCCAGCGGTCGCCCTCGCCCTCCAGGAGTCCAGCAGTGGGGCCGATGACATCATCGACCCGGATGTCGTCCCCAGTGAGCCAGCAGTCAGCCCAGACCCAGAGGAGCCAGCGGTCGCCCTCGCCCTCCAGGAGTCCAGCAGTGGGGCCGATGACATCATCGACCCGGATGTCGTCCCCAGTGAGCCAGCAGTCAGCCCAGACCCAGAGGAGCCAGCGGTCGCCCTCGACCTCCAGGAGTCCAGCAGTGGGGCCGATGACATCGACCCGGATGTCGTCCCCAGTGAGCCAGCAGTCAGCCCAGACCCAGATGAGCCAGCGGTCGCCCAGGACGATGTCCAAGAGTCAGGGCAGTCTGGGGTCTCTGAGCCTAACCACCAACTGTCAAGTGGGGACCATGACACCATCGACCCAGATATCGTCCCCAGTGAGCCAGCGGTCCCCCTCGACCCAGAGGAGCCAGCGGTCGTCCTCAACCCAGAGGTGCCAGCGGTCGCCCTCGACCCAGAGGAGCCAGCGGTCGCCCTCGACCCAGAGGAGCCAGCGGTCGCCCTCGACCCAGAGGAGCCAGCGGTCGCCCAGGACGAAGATGTCAAAGAGTCAGAGGAGTCTGGGGTCTCTGAGCCTAACCTCCAGGAGTCCAGTGGGGACGATGACGATGAGTTCCCCTTGACCGCTGTGAGTATGACTTCATACCTGAGTAACACGCAACTGCTCACATTCCCCACACCAGTTTTGTTGTCATAAAATGACTCACGTACGAGTGTTTCCTCATAGGGGGAAGCAGCGGAGGAGGAGGAAACGAGGCTGGCTGTCGCTGACAACGTGAGAGAAATTGCAGCTGCCGACAGGGATACAATGGTGAGTGCAATCTCCTAAACTAATAGGAGTCATATCAACTATTACAGAGGCTGCAAATGGGCATCCATTGCAGGTCATTTGATTTGAACTAACACATGTTTAATGATCTTTCACAGCTAGGGAAGTCCAGGGGGGCTGGAGTGCTGGTGCACCAAGCACTCCAAAAAATTTTCCAGGGCAGGTGTAAGGGGAGCACTGGAGACTTCAAGTTCCCCAAGGCAATTGGTAAGACAATTCATTAGTAAGGGTTGCCCGAAAAATCAAAAAATAAACTACTGCTTGATCAGTCATTACTTGCCCTTGCAGCGGACTACATGGAGCAATACGGGGAACACATCTTCCGGCCCCAGGGGACACGAAAAGTCCAGGAGAACTGTATCTCACGGACTGTTCGAGCAAAATCCTTCGTGGCCTATATGATGTTCGGGTCTCCAAAACCCCATTGGGACTGGGGCTTCATGTCCAACATTGAACATCTAAGAGCGTGAGTGGGATCTGATTTTTGTTAGTAAATAAGTCTCTTATTTGTTGCGTGTGATTCATCTACAGCTACCCAGCAGTCCTGAGGGCCTTAAAAAAGAAGCCCAACACGGCCCAGACCTACTTCATGCAGGTCAGGGCCTTTGTTGAGTATTTCAACAACAAGGTTCCAAAGGGCTGTCGGCTCACTGGGGACCAGCGCACGGAGGTTTTCTGGGAGCTCCAGAAGGTGGCCAAGGACACGGGCAGGTCCATTGCGGCGCACCAGCTGGCCGTGAAAGGCCAGAAGCAGGAGCGCCTGCTATCCAGAGAGGCCCTGGTCAGGTGCACGCGGCTGGCCAGGGAAAGGATCCCCTCGCTCCTGGGTAAGGGTTCAAAAATTGTGTCAAGTCTCTCGGGGGGGATGCACTGTACAACATAGTTGATAGTTTTGATCATTTTAGTATAGGCGCAGTGGAAGCCGCACCCCCCAAGGACCGGTCGACCCGGTTCCTTTTTCTGGGCTACCTGTCGGCCTACCTCGCATGCATCTATGGGCACAGGACCGGGGTATTCACAAAAATGACCCAGGCGGAGGTCAAAAGGGCCGTGGGGGACGACCAAAGCGGCTACCTCATAAATGTAAGTGTAAAATGGGGTCACTGCTGCCACTACTGCCACTATTTCATTCCCGCTCAGACGTCATCCATTCTCGCACCACAGTCACCTGTACAATCATCCTTTTTTTCTTTTCTCCCCCCCCCCCCCAGGTACTTGAACATAAAACTGTTCAGACGTACGGCCATGCCCAGGTGTACCTCACCGCAGAGGAGTACGGGTGGTGCCGGAGATGGCTGGGCCTCCTCCGACGCACCGTGCCTAGCAACGTGTATTTTTTTTGCTCTTTCGGAGCAGGGCCCATCAAAGATCTACGGGGCTACATGGGGCGAGCCTGGACCGACATGGGCCTGGGTCCAGTGCCCACATTCATGGACATTCGGAGCGCTGTGGCCACCTACGTAAGCACATATTTATATTTTCATATCTTACACTAATCTAAACATGATTCTGAACATGTTATCACTTCTTTCAGAACTATGAGTCAAACCAGGACCCAAAGACCAGGGAGAGCGTGGCACAATTCATGTGCCACAGCGAGCGAGTGCAGGAGAAATTCTACGCCCTGCATAAAACTGTGAAGAGGGCAAGAAAGATGCGGGAGTTCTTTGTTGCCCTCAGCATGATGGAGCAGGATGATGGGCCAGGCACTAGTCAGGACGCCCCTTCTCCCCAAAAGCCTGTGAAAAGAGTACGCAACACATTTGGAGATTACATGAATGTTACATTGTTCTGTTCTTTCACTAATTCCATTTTTTCCTTCAGCGCAAAGACTCCCTGACGGTGAAGGCGGCCAAGAAAATCCGCCATCTTTTGTCCCCTCAAAAGAGGAATTTGGACAAAAAGCAAAGACAACTGCGGGTCCGTCTCCCGCGGTTACCGATGGACACTAAGTGACGCGCACATATTCCATTGTTTTGTTAGATGTGTTTATTTTTATACTTGTGTTTTTTTATTGATAGATGTGTTTATTTTTATACTTGTGTTTGTTTTATTTATGTTTATTTAGTTCATACGTTTGTGTTTAATTATTTGAAATAAATGTGTCACTTTTCGAACGCTATTGCTCTTCATTTGCTAACATTGACTTTGGAATTAGCTGTGGGCCAGGGGCTACTTAAAAGTAGGCCAAAATGCATACAAAGTTGCCCAAAATGCAGAAAGAGTAGGCCAGGTTAATACGGAACAATGGGCTACTTAAAAGTAGCCACACCTTAATATATGTATAATGTATATATATATATATATATATATATATATATATATATATATATATATATATATATATATATATAATGTATATATATATATATGCAGTAAAAGTAGCCTGAGTTAATACTGCTAATAATGGGCTACTTAAAAGTAGCCCCAAAATGAATACAAAGTTTCTCAAAATGCAGTAAAAGTTGCCCAAGTTAATACTACTAATAGCCCCAAAATCCATACAGAGTTGCCTGACTTACAACACCAAAGTGAGCTGCTGTAACCCGACACCGTGAAGAGACATGAACTCATACAAGCTAGAGAGGCTGCTTTTCTGCCATTTGTATGTATAAGATAAGATAAGATAAAGTACACTTCTGCTGTATAAAGGTATCAAAACAAAATGAAGACTTTCGATTTGTTATTGGCCTCCATGTTCTTAACAGACAATGCATATGTAGACCTTTCAGAGATGTTAATACATATAAATAGTTTGAAAACGAAATTGGACATGCACAAGATGGCGGCTTGTGACACAGCCTCCTCTAGGTTAATTTGACGCAAAAGTTTTCACACCTTTGCCGTGTGCGCGTGCAGCAGAGCAGTCAGAGACTTTGGAGCTGGAGACAGAGACACAACTGGCTATTACACAGTAAGTACATGAATTCAAATAGAGTTTTAAAGTTGCATGCTTGAACAATGTCATGCACATGTGTAGCACTCTTGTTTACATGCTGTGTGCAGCTGCCGACAGGCAGAGAATGGTGACTAAACTAAGGAGTTATAACAACTATTCAGGAGGCTGCAAATGCCAGCCATGCAATTAACAATGTCAAACATTTGTCAGTGCTGCTCTTCTGTATATTTTTTTTAATATTTTCATTATCAGTGATTCTAGAGCGAATTCCACACTATTGTAATCATATTCTTTACATTTGGATTTGTTTTAAACATTTTCTTTAGAAAACATAGCCCAAGTTACAATTGCAAGATGGGCTACTTTTCAGTAGCCCATCTTTAAGTTGGGCTGCTACTACTGCTACTACTACTGCTACTACTACTGCTACTACTACTACTACTACTACTGCTACTACTACTGCTACTACTGCTACTACTACTGCTACTACTACTACTACTACTGCTACTACTACTACTACTACTACTACTACTACTACTACTGCTGCTGCTACTACTGCTGCTGCTACCACTGCTGCTGCTACTACTACTACTGCTACTGCTACTACTACTACTACTGCTACTACTACTACTGCTGCTACTACTACTGCTACTACTACTACTGCTACTGCTGCTACTACTACTGCTACTACTTTTTTATGTTTTTTGCAATAAAATGAGTGTTGCCTTTAGACTCAGTACCAGCACCAAGGACAGCACCAGCACTGAGAACATCACAGCGGTAAGTGCTCTCCAACTACTACTACTACTACTACTACTGCTGCTACTACTGCTACTGCTTCTACTACTGCTAATACTATGTTCCTCTGTCCTTTCATTTAGATGACTAAGTCCAAACAGTCGGGCCAGTGCCCCATCTGCTTCAAAGTGCTTCAGCATATAAGCAAACACATCCGCAAGGTACATCGTATCCTAAACCCGACCGAGCGGAGGATACTGAACGCCATAGCGAGTGGGAGGGTTGAAATTGGGAAGGGAACATGCCCGGTCCCAGGGTGTGGGCTCTTTAGGAGACGACTCTCCAGCCATATTGCTCTCCACCCTGATCTGCTCCCCGGCACAAGGGAGGCCTTCAAGAAGGTAGCCCGCAGGGAGGCCGCGTTGAAGCAGCTGTCAGAGCTGCGGGCTACCAACCCTCAACCTCCCATGGCCTCGGTGTTGGACCTTGCCTCTGAATGCCGGCACCCCTCCTGCATTCAGAGGGAGGTTAGGATCCGGGAGTTGGAGGTAAAGTATATGATATTTATTATTTTCTCTTTGTGCCTACCTCATTGCGAAAAGGTAGGTACAAAGAGAAAATAATGCTTTTCTTTGAAAACGCTGTGATTTACTCCCAGTGCCCATCTGCACTCTTTGTGAGTTCTGCTTTATACCAGAATAAACAACTATTACCACTTATACTCACATGCCCTGTATTTACCTGTCCCCACCATAGAGCACTGACAAGGAGCCAGCCCAGGACGAAGAGCCAGCCCAGGACGAAGATGTCCAAGAGTCAGAGCAGTCTGGGGTATATGAGCCTAACCCCCTCGACCCAGAGGAGCAAGCGGTCGCCCTCGACCCGGCGGTCATTAATGACCACACCGGGGAGTGTGAATGCTTCCTCTGCTTCCTCTTTACCGTCATGTGAGGTATGCTTACTGCACACTGGGAACAATGTGCTCCAAAAAGCAGAAAAAGTAGCCCCTATTGCAATCGCATTAGGGGCTACTTTTTCTGCGCCTTGGGGTATTCTTTAAAGGTTGATCGGAGATTGATTAGTCATTACTTGCCCTTGCAGCGGACTAATGTGGGAAACTCTTCTTCCGGCCCAATGAACATGGAGAAGTTGGAGAAACATGGACCATCTAAGAGCGTGAGTTGGAACAGATTTTTGTTAGTAAATAAGTCTCTTGCTTATTGGGAATGATTCATCTACAGCTACCCAGCAGTCCTGAGGGCCATAAAAAGTCCAGAAGCAGGAGTCCAAAGAGGTCCTGGTCCTGGGTATAGGTTCACAATTGTGTCACGCATTGTTCTTTCCTTTCTCTAATTCAATTTTTTCCTTCAGTGAAAACAGTCCGTGACGTGACGGTGATGGCTGGAAACACGCACATTTTTATGTGTTTGTGTTTGTTTTATAGATGTGTTTGTTTTTATAGATGTGTTTTATTTTTATAGATGTGTTTTATTTTTATAGATGTGTTTTATTTTTATAGAAGTGTTTTATTTTTATAGATGTGTTTTATTTAGTTTGTATTTAATTATTTTAAATAAATGTGTCACTTTTTGAATGCTATTGCTCTTCATTTGCTAACATTAACTTTGGAATAGCTGTGGGCCAGGGGCTACTTAAAAGTAGCCAGAAATGCATACAAAGTTGCCCAAAATGCAGAACTGGAAGGGGTCCAAGTTAAACTCGTGGACCCAATGTTGTAACATTCTTTTAGCTGTTATTTCTGTCCAGTGTATATTGTCCGTCCTGGTTACAAATTCTTCTTTTGGCAGTTCTTTGATGTAGGGCATATTTTTCTCCAAGTGATGGTTAAGAAGTTTCATCACACCTCTCTCCTTTGGGGGGAGCTCTCTTGAGGTCTGGATCAGAGGCACTCTGATGTTGGCATTTGGAAATGTCTTTTTGGCCTCCCTGATCAGGCTCTGCATTTGTTTAATGCCTGTCTCGCTCTGTTTTTGCTGTCTGTTGTTCAGCCCAAAGGAGAGGACCACGCTCTCTACTTGGGGCTGATTTGGTGTGTTCCTGAGGAGTTCTGTCGCGTGAAGTAGATTGGCTCCGGGAACGCTGTCGATTTGAAGGAAGGGAAAGGTTTGATCCTTGATCCTGGCGACATTAGAATCTCCCAGGATCAAAACGGGTCTGGTCACTCTCAAGGACCAGTCCTCCTTCGTCCTGTTGGTAACCTTATGCTTTTCTATTTTGTAGACTTGGCTTCCCTCTTCCTCATCCGTGTCCGAGTCTGTGGCTGGCTCCAGGTCAAAGTTCGCTTGCAGTGCTGGCGGGGGGTCAGCGTCGGTGCGATCTCTTAGCTCCGAGCGTGGTTCCCGTTGCGAAGGCCCGGGCGAGCTGGTTGTGGGCTCCGGGGGCGGCTGTGTGGAGGAGTCCTGGGGGAAGCTCACTCCTGTGCCCCTCCTTCTAACTGGTGTATTAGCCTCGTCCCCACGTTCTTTGGCGGTAGGTGAGTTTTTAGAGGGGTCGGGAGTGTTTTCAGTCAGTGTGCTCATGTCCAGTTCGATTGGGTTTCTCTTAAAACAGGCCCCATCCAGAATTAGGTCCTCTACTTGCTGTAATGTGGTCTGTTTGATCCTAGGCAGACTGTTTTTGGCCCATCTCTTGGCTACCATGAATGCATCCACCCAGTCATGGTCCACAATGTATCCATTTGGTCCACGTTGTATTTTATCTCTGTTTCGTAGTGTGTTTTGAGAATTTTAATGGTTTCTTGTCCCCAGGTGCGTGCATTTTCATTCAACAGTTGTCTTGTCGTCTCATTAAGGGCTGCGGGTTTGATCATGCTTTTAAGGTCATTTTCCAGACTATGGATCCTCTCCTCGCCTTTCGCCCCGTGTTCATCTGACAGGCAGGACAGATGGTGGGTCAGTTGCAGGGTCCTGTAAATGAGGCGGATAGACCTGGTCATGTGTGGGGGCGCCGCCTGTCTTACTGGTGAGTCCTCTTGTATATTGGGTGGGGGTCTGGGTGGGGATCTACGGGGAACTTCCCTCATCACGTCTGCGTAGGAGCGTGGGCCGCCTCGATAGCGCACGGTTGGGGAGGTTAGGTAAATGTATGGGATCCCTCCTCCAACTTGTGGAGTCGGGAAGTGTACGGGCCTTATTTCTCCATCCGTGCTGGGCGGTGTGGTTGGAGTTCCAGGTGTAGTATAGGTGGTAGGTGGGCTCTCTCCAGTGACTCACTCTCTCTCGCAGGCCCAGGGGGGGATTAAAAGCACTGTCTCTGCCTGGCTTTTACAAAACTTACCTGTGTGTGTCCTTTGGTTTTATTAATACTTTAGTTATTTTATTGGTTATTTTTAAGTACCTCGGGTCACAATGGCATAGTTGTCCATAGATAAATGTCCAATGTGTGGAATTCTTGACATTCACCTTTTAACCTGAAAAAATAAAAATATTCATTATGTATATGTAATAATTGATGAAACCCCCTGCTGCAGTCACACCACTACTTGGAACCACATCATCTACTGGATCTATGGACAAACTAGAAACTTCTGTCTATCGATTAATCAAATTGCCGCCCCTCCCCGTTCAGCAATTGGTCCCAAATCTAAGCCATCACATTACCCTGAGTTCACACGTTACAGTGCAGTTAGAAATTATTTGAGAGCATGCAGCACTATAATAATACATTTATAAATTAAAATGATAGCCCACTTTGCCCAAAGCCCCCGCTGAAAGATCTCAGCTCCTGTGGACTCACCACCTGCAGGAGGATCAGTGAGGGGCTGGTGCAAAGTGTACTGGGTGCAGCTCTGACTGCCACCCCTCCGACCCAGAAATGGATTAAGGGGAAGAAAATGGATGGATGGATGGATGTTTAACTTGAAAACATGGAAATTTGTATTTTCTACTGGTTTAACACCATTATTTTAAATGTAACAACTTTGTTTGTTACGGCAAATGACTGAATTAGTTGAGGTACTACCGTTAAAAGAAATGTAGTTGATTGTTATCATGAAAAGTATTAACATTGCAAAAAATGTTATTTTACATGAAAAAATATCAAATTTGCAGTGATGTAAATATCAACTCGAATTAAACAAAATATCAAAGAATAAGAAGCACATTGTGTAAATGTTCATATGTTCACTTTTTAGTGTCCAAACTTCAAAACGAAATTTTTTTGGCCGAGAAAACCTTTTTTTAATGAACAGTTACGTGTACTTTTGTGGGACATGGCTAATCACAAGGTGGCATCAGTCAACATAGAGTGTACTATTTTAAGAGCATCAAAATAAAAATCACCCCTAAAAAGGGAACTGAAGTGCATAATCTTTCAAAATAAAAGTAAATAAATACTTTCTGTATGACTGAACAGAATCGTGTACAACAGGTGTAGCAAAGATGACTACAGAAATTCTTACTGAGCAGAATCTTTTCTCTATCTTCAGACCCCTGGGCTTCACAATTTGATTCGCGATATAAAAACAGGTGTAAAATAAAAATGCACACACTGTACCAGACAATTTATCTTCTAAACTTTAACCAACATAAATGGGTGGCAGTCAGAGCTGCACTCAGTACACAGAGCACCAGCCCCTCACTGATCCTCCTGCAGGTGCCAAGTTCACAGGAGGTCAAAACCTAATCGTTAACGTCAAACCCTTATGCCAACATTTTTCTTGTAAAGTCAATTTTTCATGAGAATAAAGTCAAAGTAGCGTGATTATGAGATGAATTTGGAAAGATTATGATAATAAAGTCAAATTTATGGGATTATCCATCCATCCATTTTCTTCCGCTTCATCCGTTGCCGGGTCGCGGGGGCAGCAGTCTAAGCAGAGACGCCCAGACTTCCCTATCCACACACACTTCCTCCAGTTCGTCCGGGGGGACCCCAAGGCGTTCCCAGGCCAGCTGAGAGACATAGTCCCTTCAGCGTGTCCTGGGTCTTCCCCGGGGCCTCCTCCCGGTGGGACGTGCCCGGAACACCTCCCCAGGGAGGCGTTAGGAACAGATGCCGAGCCACCTCAACTGGTTCCTCTCTACGTGGAGAAGCAGCGGCTCTACTCCGAGCTCCTCCCGTGTGACTGAGCTCCTCACCCTATCTTTAAGGGAGCGCCCAGTCACTCTGCGGAGGAAGCTCATTTCGACCGCTTGTATCCGCGATCTCGTTCCAGAGAAACACCAGAGAAGTGGAGCGTCCAACCCCTCTCAAGAAGTTGGGTTCCAGAGCCCAAGCTGTGTGTGGAGGTGAGGCCGACTATCTCTAGTCGGTATCGCTCAACTTCCCCCATGAGCTTGGGCTCCTTCCCCCCCAGTGAGGTGAGGTTCCACGTCCCAAGAGCTAGATGTTGGGTGTGCGGACTGGGTCGCCGAGGTGCCGCCCAGTCCTCTCTGCACCATGCCACCACGGACCCCTCTGCAGGTGGTGGGCCCACAGGAGGGACTGCCCACGTCATCCCTTCGGGCTGAGCCCGGCCGGGCCCCGTGGGCTAAGGCCCGGCCACCAGGCGCTCGCTAGCGAGCCCCGACCCCAGGCCTGGCTCCAAGGTGGGGCCCCGGCAGCGGCATACCGGGCGACGTCACTGTTGTCCTTATTGTGCTGTCCATGATGGCTTCGGACTGCGCTTTATCTGACTCGTCACCTGAGACCTGCCATGGGAGACCCTACCAGGGGCATGAAGCCCCTGACAACATAGCTCCCAGGATCACCCGAGTACGCAAACTCCCCCACCACGTTAAGGTGGCAGTCCAAGGGGGTCTGCCACTCCTTATGGGATTAATCTCATAATATTTGGAGTTACCTGTATATTTCTGGGTTTATTATACCCACCAACCATATTTCAATGTAATAGAATATAACAATTGTGTATTTCAAAATATAAATCCTAATCTCAAACTGGATTTATCAAATTATATTGTAGTTCATTTGTTTTGTGTATTTTTACACACACACACACACACACACACACACTCTGCAAGACACATGCAGAGTGTCTTGCAGAAGAACACATCGACAGTGGAAATGATTGGGAGCTGATAACATAGAACTTTTTTAATAATGTTCACTCAATAATAATAGAAAGAACACACCAACCGGGAAGAACAAAAAAAGATTAATTATATTTGTTGAGACTGGACAAAGCTGGACTTTGGCTCCCAGGTGTTCTTCCATTCAACACCACTGTGGAACAAAACAAAAAAGAGACACTTCATACAGGTTTTAATAACTTAAAAAAATTAATCATTTTATTTAAGCCAACATGCCCTATTATGCTGCATTAATATACACAATGGATAATTTACAAAAGAGTATGGTAAAAAAATTCCATTATCATTAAATGATCATTGTGAGTGCATGTGTGCTGTAAATGATTTAACAGTATTCCTCTAAAAATTAGATAAAAGGCAGTAAATAAAACATTGCTCAAGCTGGAAATAACTGGAAGACGTCTAAATATTTGCAGCAGTAACCTCTCTGTACAATAGTGAGCACAGCTGGTGCAGTAAGAACAGCCAAACAAAATAAACAATTACATTTTAAATGAACAAGTTCTTATACCAAATTCCGCAAGGCTGCCATCGAACAAACACCTCCTGACGACCCTTTTAAATGACATACAGAGATAATTAAGACAAATATTTAAAATAAACTTCTCACTATAACAAACATCAATGAATACAAACTACACTGAGTAGTATGTTTGTGACATCACCAAAAGGAACGTTAGTACTGAGGTTCTTTTAATGACAGAATGGTCTGCTTGACTAGTTTTAAATCTTCCACAGTATCATCACCAGCTGCTTAGGGACTTACTAACACTAGTGTTTATCTAAGAAGACAGTATGAAGCTCTTTCAAAAAAGCAAACTTAGAACATACATACTAAATTAATTAAGCACTTTCACCTACAGTAAGAATTCAAAGTTTTCAATTCACTTTATACACAAAATATTTCACAGACACTGTTGAAGGAAAAGTGGGTGAAGTGTCTTGCCCAAGGACAGTGTGCACTAGTAGGAGTTGGGTTTATAAGACCAGCTCTATCTTCTCTACTGTCACCTAATGTTTTAATATTGACTACAAACCTCCCTCACTCTTTCCCTCATAATTTTCTTGACTGGGTAGAAATCAAGATTATGACGCTGGCATTCTGAAATGTATTAAGAAAAGACATTATGTTCATGTCTTTCACATGTGTTTGATATTAGTGATGGCAGTTATTTCAATTCTATTACGACAGTAGTTGGAGTCGTACCTTTCTTTTTTTTGGCCCTCTTCGATGCAGTTTTTGGGGGAGGTATGACAACAGAGAGGTTAGACAAAAGAGAAGACAAGGAACAACTAGAGCAGGGGTAACAGGGGTGAGGGAGGTGAGGTCAGAGGAATGAGGAGAAGACAGCGTAGAGCAGGTTACAGAGGAATGGAGAGCAGAGGCAGTAGAAGGGCTGAGAGGAATGAGAGCAGTGGGAACAGAAGGAGGTTGGAGGGTTGACCCAGCAGGAGCAGTGCCAGCTTCCGACAGCATTCGAACTAAGAAG